ATTTGGATAATGTCGACTTTTGAATATAAGAGCATAAGCTCCTTCCAAATGCCGCATCACTTCGAGCACAACTTGACTGAAAGTCACACTTTGATCACCTGAAGCAAAACATTCAAATAATGATTACATTACAGGTTACATAAATATGCTTTAGAGAAATAAAGCTAAAATCAACGTGTCTAGTTTCTTTACCAAAAAAAGACAACAAAAGTTTGGCAAAAGATGTAAGTCAACACACTTATGATATTATCTGTCAAACTCTCATAGTAAAAATCAATTTTAAATGCATGAAGAAAAAAAATGAAATGCAAACTCAGGGCAAGTTCCAACAGGGAAAGTGACGAGGAACAGATGTCCAAATACAGAGGTATACCATCCAGGGCAAGAATCTGACCAAATGAACCGACGCACCATATGACGTCAGATTACGTAGCCTCTATCAAACAATTCAGTCATGATCTAAATCTAAATTATCAGTTTGCAAATTCCCCCTTGACACAAAACCAAATAACCTAACCAAGAATTTGAAGAGGGACAACAACCACAAAAAGGGATCAGCTGCAGATACTCAAAATTTAGTATTTACATTTTTTCCTTTTTCTAATGTCTTTTCAGCTAACTTATTTAAAAAATTCTCTCATGGTACTAACAGCCAGATACAACAATGTAGTGTCAAATCTTATTTAATTTAGATTCTGCATGTCGCCTATCAAAATCAACCAAAGTGGTAATGACATATGGTGTAATTCAGCTTCTCTCTTTTTGTCCATTATCTGAAACATAGCACCTGCAGACCAAGCAAACAAGAAATAACCCACATAACATGTGTGGGAACATATTCAATCAATCACATAGCAGGTGTAACATAGAAAACCAATAATATGGCATGGTGTAATAATTTAACAGCTACATCACTTGACTGCATGTTAGTTTCTCATAGGGGTTAAGATAATCATTAAGTAGTGGAGTAAATGAAATCTCGTGATCTTTCACAGGCAAAAAAAATAAAAACTAAAAGTTCCCCATGACCTCATTCTTTTCACTACACTATTTCTTTTCACTACACTATTCAGCAGCAGAGCTCTTCAGATTTTACTTCGTATCACCTACCAACTCAATCCTTATCAGGTGCAAACAACCAGCTACTTAAAAGTCATAGAAAGTTCACCAAACATTTCTCAACATCTCTAGCTAACTTGATGAAGCATTAGATTTTCCATTAGTAAAGCCATAATACAAACAACATGTATCAATTGTATAAATTTCCAGAAATGATCAAAAAACTCAATGACAACAAATTTAACTACCTAGATCAGTCTTCAAATAATTTGCTTACAATAAAAAGAGTAAAAGACTAATTCCACATTTGTGTCCATAAACTGAGCCAAAAGGGAAGAAAATGTAGAGAAACAAAGAAAGCATGGCTTCCCCAAACCAATATTCCTTAAGACTGACAGATGTACATGGAATTGAATGCAGCATCTTGACCAAAGTTGACATCAACAACCACAAGACATTTACTAGCATGAGGCTGAAAGTTCGAGTCAAAGGAAAATAAAACAGGACAAAATGACAAAAGTCAAAGACATTTACGAGCATAGCCAAGAAGACTTAATCGTAAATAAAAATAAAACAGGACAAAAAGGATAACCAATAGAATAGAAGAGGAACTACATGGTGCAAATTATTCGCATTCATCAAGGAGACCTTACCTTCTTCATTTGCTTTGTCGAAAACAAATTTAGCAAGCTTTGGAATGACTTCCGTATCTGTATCAGATTCAAAGGTGAACCCATGTCGAACTAAGGTCTCTTTTAGTACCTGCAAACAAGGAGGTTCTTCAATGAAGATCGGAGACTAAACTTATAAATAAAAGGTACAAACAAGACTCTACGTCTATTCTTTCCTAGAAATATATGAAAGGGAATGCTTCAAAGACATTTTAAAGGTGAAAGCAAGGATGACAAAAATGATTTATTGCAGCATATCACAAAGTTATCAAAGGAGTAAAATGTTAAAATAATTTGAACAACTACAATCTCATATCTTCAGAAACAGCGCAAAGTTCATTTTGTATACTCTATGTCACTAGCAATAAAATCACACCATAACCGAACAAAGAAAATGCAAGCCCATAGAAAGCAGAGGCTGCCAGCATAAAGAGAATGAATCAAGGGATTATTGGAGTGCAAAATGGTTCCTTTACATGCAGGAAGTTGACATGCCACTTTTAGACATTAATAGAGCAATACAAATTCAGCTGCTAATAACACAAGCATAGACACATCTAGAAACTTCTAGTGAAAAACTCTACAATTTCTCAAGAAATCTAACTTCTGAAAATCTCCAATGCCTTTGTTTCAAACAATTTATTGGACTGATATCTTTTCTGTATTCCTATAGAGTGTACTCCATCCTCTCACTACTTTTGCTTCTTTTACCATCCACCAGTCTACACTGACCTACCAAAAGCATCATATGTCTGCTGTGGCTATCAATCATGTAATATTCACGTTCAATGCATGAGAGTGAAAGAACTCATACTCATATCAGTCTAAACGGATTAAAGATGAGAAATTTATAACCACTCAAAGACGCTTATTGACCTTGCAACCATAAAGTGTACAATAACGATTACTAACTCTATTAACTAACTACATGATTGCAGGCCCTCAATGACGAATTGCGGTAATGGGAAAAATCCTCAACAAAGAAGCCTATTTCATATTTCATGAACTTAATATATATGCTAATTTAAAAATATTACTTTGTTTCACTTTTTGAACTCCAATATTTAGATTTCACATTAAAACTGTCATTTCGTTGGACGAACCTACCATTATCACTAATGATAACAGTGCAGAAGAAAAGCAGCTTCAGGACGTGTGAGAAATGACTCTTTAATCCAAAAATTAAAGGTACTCATGATAAAACATCAGCCAAGAGAGCAAAAGCAGGCATCTTTTTCATGAAACTGCACTAATTTGAAACGATCAAACAACTAACTGTGCAGTGAACATGAGTGAATAGAAATTTAGGGAAATGAGAAACCTCATAATTCGTGATAATGCCATTGTGGACAACAAGAAAATCATTTCCAGCACCACAGCTCTGAGGGTGACTATTTCTTGGAGCTGGCTCACCATGCGTAGCCCATCGAGTGTGTGCAATGCCAGCATGAATAGCAAATGGTTCTTCCAAATTTAACTCTGTCTCAGCAACCTCTGCAATCACAAAAATCAAACTCATCTAACATAATTCTTCTCTACATTTAGGGAAAAAAAATACTAATCAATCCGGCCTAAATCCCGAGCAATGTACTGGTCAAGAAAATGAATACTGAAAACATAAATTTGCAGCTAAAAATGAATAAAAGAAAATCATCAAAAAAAAATAAACAAAATATTGAAGGCAAAGAAAAAATCCATGATCTCCATGTAAAACTTATTGCTCTTAACTTTAAGCCCAACAAGTAAAACACATCAGCAATTCTAAATTTCCTCTTCATTTTTTTTTTTTACTTCCATTTTCTTAGTTTAAAAAAAATCTACGAAATTACTGATCAATTTAGTTAAAGAGTCAAAAACTTTTGAAATAAAACTAGTACAACCTTCCCAGATCAATGCATAAAAGACACAAGATCACCAAATATTACAGCTAAAAAAACAAGTAAATACATAAAACTTTCTCATTTTTTCAGAAAAAAACAGATAACATTCTATCAGAAAACCCATCACACCTTGGTAAACGGATTTGACGAGAGATTCAATCTTCCCTTCTTTCCGGAAGACAAGAGGAGGAGGGGCAACATTGGAATTCGAGTTCGAACCGGAGACTGCCGGAATTTTGCATGAAGAAGAATCAATGGAGATACCGGAGGAATCATAGCCTCTGTACTCCAGACGGCGCAGGCCATTAAACAACACTTCCAAGATGTAACGGCGTTCTCTGTTGACGTTATAATTCAAGTACGCAAAAATCCCACACATTTTCTTCCCCTTTTTCCGCAGTATCTCCCTTGCTATTCCGTGATCTGCCTTTTTCTCTTTTTGGGTACAGTCCAATGAAGAAGAAGAGAGACCAGTTGAATTGCAGTTGAATATTGGCAGTATAAATATAGCAGCCTCCCCTGGGTGGGGACATGCATAGGAAGGGGAGGAGAGGCGGAAATTTCCTTCTATTTATTGCTTACTTCTTTTACATGGTCCAAGGAGACTTTTTAGATTACGGCGTAGTATTAGTTTCCGTGTTTATACAGTTTGCACTATTGTGAAACCAATACTAATATATATTTGATTGGTGTGTGTTATTTTTTTTTTTTTGACGGAGTGGATGTCCGGGTCAATCCTTATAGGGCCCGACTAATCTCACTCCGACTCGGAAGGAGGAGCCCCATTCCTCCGAACACGATAATCACAGGATTCGGACCCTTGCGGACACTGGACATCAGCTCCTAAGAAGGCTTGCTGAGACCAATCGAGTTGCTCATGAGGGGCAGACAATTTGGTGGGAGGCAAGTGTTTATACAATTTGCTTTATTGTGAAACGAATACTAATATATATTTGGTTGATAGTGATTTTGCATTATTGTGAATCTAATACTAATATATATTTGGTTGATAGTGATTTTGCATTATTGTGAATCTAATACTAATATATATTTGGTAGTAACTTGTAGTATAACTAAATTATTTTAGTTTATGTGTTTATACAATTTGCGTTATTTGTGAAACTAATGCTAATATATATTTGGTTAGTAATGGTTTATAGTGATTGTATATTGAATTATACTAATAGAATAATAAAACATAGAGAAAGTTATAAAAGTAGACAAGAAATAGAGAGAAAGTTATACTCGCATTCACTAGTCTGTTCACAATTCTCAAAGTTACAAATGAAGTTAGAATTTTTTTTTTTTTTTTTTCTGCAACGTTAGATATTTGTATTGATTGGCAAAAAACTTATATGAGCAAAGGCTCAAGGAATTCTATACAAGAGTGTTAGACACACTGAGGATTAATCCATTCCTCATCTTGAAATATGCCTAAAGCATAATCACTAATCGCTTCACATCTAGAGTCTAAGCTCCTATCTAAACAAAAGGAGCATTTCTGAAATAAGGACCTGAGATCATTAATATCATCTATCAAAGTAGCCATTTTGATGTCCTTTGCCTTCCTTTCCTTTATCATCTTCAGTAGCTGGGGGCTGGTGATGTGGACAACAATTTCCTTCCATTGCTGGTGTCTAGCCTTTATGATGGCCATTTTCACAGCTTCTGCAGTAGACTGCAACTGATTCACTGTTTTTCTGTCAAAAAGTGCCCATGCAGCCACCCAATGATTGTTGAAGGTAGATGCAAAAATCCCCATGCCAACTCGGTTGGATTGGTCTTGCTCCTTAGTTGACATTCTGATCTGAATTTCATTCCTTCCTGCCTCCTCCTGATCAACTTCCTCATCTGCTCTTACCGCATCTTCAGTGACTATTTCCTGCTTGCTCTGGACATCTTTTTGTTCTTGCCATTCCTGTAGAGCCTTTTGGATTATTTTCCAAGGGTGCCTGTGTTTGGCATTGAATTGCCATTCATTTCTCCTTTTCCAGAGTTGCCAGAGGATGTTCACAGTGAGCTCTATATGCTCCTTTCCTTCTGTCCTGCATGTAGCTTCCAGAAGAGCAGTCCACCAAGCTTGAAAATTCCCTGTCTGTTCCCTTAACCCATCCCATTGTAATGGAGCCATTTTCCACGCCTCTTGTGCTTTGCTGCATTGGAAAAACATGTGTTCAATTGACTCTTCTTGTTCACCACAGCCACCACAGATTGGATCACCTTTGTGTGTTCTTTTAAAAACCAGGCTGTTGACTGGTAATAAACCATGTAGGCACTTCCAAAGGAAATGTTTGATCTTGCTCTTCACGTTCAGCCTCCACATCCACTTCCACTGCTTTTCATAAGAACTTGCTATACTAGTTTCCGCCTCATTCTCTCTTCTTTCTTTGTATTGAACAGTTCCTCTGCACAATGCCTTGTAACCTGAGTTGACAGTGTAGATGCCATTGCCGCTATGTATCCAATAATTGCTATCATCCTTTCCTGATATACTAATAGGAATCTCCAGAATTTCCTCTGCCTCCTTCCTGTTAAAGGTCCTAAATACAAGTGGTATCCTCCATCGAAAGCCACAGATCAACTCCTCTACTCTTTTGATTTTGCAATTCAGAGGCATCACAGAGGTGACTTTGCCATCCCTATTTCCCGGAATCCAGTTGTCCCTCCAAATGTTGGTTGCCTTGCCATTGCCTATCTTTTTCCTAGTTCCATTCTGCACCAAATCTCTAGCATTCATCAGGCTTTGCCAAATCCACGATGCACATTTAGGAACTTTGCACCTAAAAATTGAGTCCGTATGGTAGTACTTTGCTCTCAAAACCTTGCTAACCAATAGGTTTGGTTTAGAAATCAGTCTCCATACCTGTTTAGCTAGCAAAGCTTTGTTAAAGTTCTGCAGGTCCTTGAATCCCAATCCTCCCACTTTTTTCTCCTTAGACAATCTCCCCCATGAGCACCAATGCATCTTATTTTTCCCTTCAGTTTCACCCCACCAGTAGTTAGCAAACATGGAAGACACCTCTTTGCAGAGTTTGTTTGGCAGCTTAAAGCAGGACATTGTATAGACTGGCATTGCCATAGACACTGCCTTCAGTAATACCTCCTTCCCACCTTGGCTGAGCAGCTTGTTCTTCCAGCTTGCCATTCTCCTGCTAATACTGTCCTTGATGTAGCCAAACACTTGCTGTTTAGATCTTGTTATCACCATAGGTAGTCCCAGATATCTCCCTTGTGTAGCAACCTGAATTGTGCCTAAACTTTGCCTCACTTCCCTTCTCCTCTGATAATCCACATTACTACTGAAGAACACGGAGGATTTTTCCAGATTGATGGATTGACCAGACCCCTTCTCATACCTCCTCAGGATTTGAATAAGTTCACTGGCTTCCTCTCTTTCAGCTTTACAGAAGATTAAAGAATCGTCTGCAAAGAATAAATGAGTCATACTTGGACCATACCTGCTTATCTTCATCCCAGAGATTCTTTTATTTCCTTCAGCCTGCTTCAATAAATTGGAAAAGCCTTCTGAACATAAAAGGAAAAGATAAGGTGATAGCGGATCGCCTTGTCTAATTCCTCTTTCTGGAATTACAAACTCTTTAGGCTCTCCATTAATATTAAAGGAGTAAGTGACTGAGGTAAGGCAGCTCCAGATCCATTGCCTCCAGACCGTACCGAAGCCCATCTTAGCCATCATGGAATCAAGGAATTTCCACTCCACTCTGTCGTAGGCTTTGGACATGTCAAGTTTCACAGCCATAAAACCATTCTGACCTTGTTTTTTGTTTTTCATGTAATGCAAATATTCATGAGACAAAATGACATTGTCAAGGATTTGCCTACCTGGGATAAAAGCTGCTTGATTTTTGCTAATGCAATAGCTTAACACATCCTTGAGTCTATTGGCCAATATTTTTGAAATCACTTTATAAAGTACATTACAGAGGCTAATTGGCCTATAGCTCTTCAGATTAGTAGGATTCTGTGTTTTGGGAATGAGAGAAATGACCGTATGATTCCAGGATTTGGGCATATGGCTTGAATGGAAAAAAGACCTAATGGCAGCAATTAAATCTGATTTAACTACATGCCAAAATTTTTGAAAGAACAAAGGAGTCATACCATCTTGACCTGGAGCCTTATTTGGGTTCATAGAGAAAAGAGCTGTTTTGATTTCCAGTTCATCAACCTCTTTAGTTAGCTTATCATTCATCTCAGTAGTAATAGTAGAAGGTAGACCACTTAGAATCTCATCTAGACCCTCACAGCCAGAACTAGTGAACAGAATTCTATAGTAATTTGCTACTTCTTTCCCCAGCTCCTCCTCACTATTGGTCCACGTTCCATTTTCTCTTTGAATGTTAAGCATTCTGTTTTTCCTTCTTCTTCCCTTCACGCAGGCATGGAAGAACTTTGTGTTCTTATCCCCTTCTCTCAACCAATCAATCCTTGCTTTCTGGGCCCAATACTGCTCTTTTTCAGAGTAAGCCTCTTTCAACTGACGTTTTAGCTCAGCCATCTTATCCTTGTATCCTGAATCCCTCGAGTCTTTAATTTCCTTGATCTGTTGCTTCACTTGGTTGATTCTTAGCAAAGTGTTTCCTGTGAAGCTGTTTTTCCATTTGAGTAAAGCCACTCTGCAATTAGCAATCTGTCTAGTAATCCTATACATCCTATTTCCTTCAACTGTTTGTTGCCAAGCTTGCACCACCACTTGATTTATATCTTCCCTCTTAAGCCAACGCTTATCAAAGAAGAATCTGGACCTTCTTTTCTCTATTCTAGGCCAATTATCTATAAGCAACATGCTATGATCTGATCCGAGGGTCTCCACATGTTCACATTTAGCCTTGTCGAAATTTTGCCACCAATTTATGGTGCTCAATCCTCTGTCCAGCCTTTGCCTTATCTCCCCCTCATCCTCCCAGTTGTTGCTCCAAGTCCAGGGGTTACCATTGAATCCTAGATCTACCAGGCTGTTATTCTCAATAAAACTGTTAAAGTCCTTGAAACTCCTGTCTTCTCTTGCTCGTCCCCCCCATTTCTCTTCATTAGAGAGTATGTCATTGAAGTCTCCTGCTAATAGCCATTTATCACCCTACAACTGCTTTCTCCTGGTCAGCACATTCCACTGTTGTCTCCTAATAATAGGGTCACAGCTCATGTAAACTCCAATGAACCACCATTCAATCTGCTTGTCAGGGTCAAGCACCAGAGCCTCTATAGTAAGGGCTGTTGTAACAACTTGCTTAACCTCTACATCCTTATTCCAAAACAAGGCCATGCCTTCTTTCCTGTCCATAGCTTCCACAATCACACTTTCCTCAAACCTCAAAATTTTTTGTACCTTTTTCATGTAATGGAACCTGTTTTTGGTTTCACTTAGGAATATCATATTCGGGGAGAGGAGGTTATTAGCCTCCCTCAACTGGGGAACTGTCAAGGGGCTCCCTGCTCCTTGACAGTTCCACACCAAAACCTTCATTGTAACTTGAGGGGCCAGTTAAGGTTGGCCCCTTCCCCCTCTAGTTCCTCGTTCAGATGCCTTCCCCCAACTGCCATTTTGTTTCTCTTGGGGACCAACTCATTTACATGTACTTCCACCATATCCTCATCCACCAGGTTAATTTTTCTTTTCCCTTGCTGGCGAGTCCTCATCTTGTTCCCACTAAGTTCTCTCAAAGGCTGCCTAGAAATTTTGGGAGACCTCAGCTGTTTTTTCATTTTGCTGTTGTATTTCTGAACAGCCTTTGTACCCAAATCAGAGCTACCTGGATCAATATGCATTACATCTATTACAGGGCTACCAGGGCCTTCCTCCACCACTGATACTTGCATCAGCTCACTAGCTATTTGCTCAAGTCCTTTACTGTCCAAATCACCTTTAATTATCGAGTTTATATCTTGCTCCTCAGAGATACTTATCCTTCCTCCTTGTAACTCACAGTTATCCTTCTCCCCATTGGGAGTCCCAGAAGCTTCTGTGGTGCTTTTTTCCTTCTGACTTTTACTGCAAGCTGGAGTTGATCTTTGCCTGTTCAATTCATTGCTACTCACCCCACAACTTCGTTTCTGAGCCTCATGACCTCCTCTCTCTCTAGACCCCTCCTTTGCTGTCTGACTTTCTGCATTAACCTGTCTAAGAGTTTCATGTCTCCCAGTCATAGAGTCCTTATGTCTGTGTTCCATGTTCTCCTTAGCCTTTGTGTTTAACAGAACCATATCCCCATCTTTAAAGCCCCAATAGCTCTTCTCAGAATTGTACTTGTTCTGATGTTCCTTTTGCGGAGAGCCTCTCCCTATATTGGCTCTCATCCATGGACCATACTGATGTTCCTGCTTTCCTCTGCTTATCTGTATTATTGCCTTGCAGGACTTCTCTCCATGGCCAACCATTCCACACTTGTAACAGAAGTCTGGACACCTTTCATATCTGAAATTCAACCATTTCAAGGCTCCATTGACTTTCACTGTCGTCCCCCTAAGCAGAGGTAGAGAGGTATCCAGTACCACTAGAAGCTTTAAATGTCTTCCTTCTTTTCCTCCTACTTGAGGCACCAGTACGTCCTTTACCTCCTGAAAGATCGCACCTATTTTCCTCCCCACTTCCTTAGATATCCAGTGCACAGGTAAATTCCATACTTGAACCCAGAAAGGTGCCAGGTCAAAAGCAGAAATATCATCTTCTATTCCTTCCACCCAATGTTTCATCACCAAAATTTGGTTGTCCATGACCCATGGTCCTCCTCCTACTATTCTGTCTCTGTCCTCCCTATTAGGAACATAGAACTGAAACAAATTTGGCCCCAATTCTATGATCCTTAGATTCCTCGGATAGCCCCAAGCTGTGGTCACAAAATTCTTGACCCCAACAAAGTTGGCCACTTTCTCACCCTTGATTCTCCCCACTAAACTCAACTGACATTCTTGGATACCTATATCTATCTCAACAACACCCAGGTCAGTTCCTTCGAGCTCTTTATCTGAAAGATCAAACTTTCTTATCGCATCCGCTAGTTCCTCCGCCATGGGGTCTAAAGAAAAACTAACACTGTCTCCTACTCACACTACTGAGACTCAGAAAAGCAGAACCAAGAACCGAAAAAACAGAGGAGAGAGCTGCCCAGGCAGACTAGATTGAACAAAGATCAGAGAACAGCCCTACCCCTGACGTCAAGACTTAGTCTCTAACCCCCCTTTTTTAAAACCTTAAGATTTTGTTTCTACTAATAAAAGAAAATAAAACTGAAAAGACAAGCCCCAAGCCTTAGAGCAGAAAAGAAAAACACAAGTTAAGACAGAGGGTTTAATGGCTATGAAGGTACCTGCCAACGCACTTACTTCTACTATGAAGTCTGTTTCCTTAGTCCAGATGAGCCAAGATCACTTCTGCATGCAGACGAAATCCGACAAAGTTGCTAAGTATAGCCATGAGATATCCCCACTGACTGAAGAAGCTCGGTTCTCTCAAAGTTCTCATCTTTTGGTAGATTCACTCATCCCAGTACGATTTTCTGTAGTACTAACAAGCATTAAGAATTCAGGGTGGCATCTAAATCTTGGGCATGTGTGTGAGGTTTTGCGGAAAATTTTGAAATAGTTTGAAACTCTCAAGGTTGAGAGACTAGCGCTCTTATCAAGAGAGAGAAACTCTCACTTTGGAGGGAAACGGTCAAATGAAGTTAGAATAACAACCTCTATTTATAGGTAGAGTAAGATAAATGATACATGAAGTGACTTTAATACTCATACATCAAGATGATAAAATTGAGTTGTTTCATGAAATGAAGAGATGAGTGTATCTTATTAATCTAGGGTAAAAATACATATATCAATTCTTTGGGGAGAACTAAATGGACATCCACGTCCATTTGTGCTCGTTTCATAACATGCATCAAATTCTCTACATATTTCTTTGTGAGTTTCTTCTAAATTGCGATGAAGCAGCTTTTACATTGCCATGCCATCCAAGTCTCTTTAGTTCCAGTCGTGTAATGTGTATAGAGGTGGCAATTTGTCCCAAGTCCCAATGGGTTACCCATACCCATGGGGACTTTGAGCGGGATGGGTATTGAAATTTGGTATTGGGTTTAAAATGGGACAAATCACAATTGTACCCATTAATTGATGGGAAATTTTGAGAAATACTTGGGTACCCATTGGGCTCAAATAACAAGGGCTCCGTTTGGAGTAGCTGTTTTTTGGGGTGTTTTTAAAATACTTTATTGTATAAGTGTATATGAAAAATTTTTACTATAAAATTTTTTTTGAAATATTTGACATACTAATATGGATGGGATGTTTTTTGAGTTATTGTATATTACTGTAACATTATATTTAAAAAACTTGTTTTTTGAAAAAATAACCAATCCAAACGGAGTCTTAGATTAAAAAATTATCTTTAACAATTTTTATAGTCATACGAGCAAATATAATCTAGCAGTCTTCCTAGTCATTATCCACAAGAATTTCCAGCATTTCAGTTAGTTTAGACCTATCATCCTTGGACAATGATGTGGATAAATATTCAACACCCTAAGTGCCTTGGTCATCTTGATATATGTTAGAATATGGCTGTATATCTATCTTTTCCTTTATTTGTTAATCCAATTTTTGGTGGGAATCCTGAGTATAAAACACTTGCATGTTTATTTAATAAAACTAAAAGAAATTTAATAAAACAAAAATATTAAAGTTATATAAAAAATAAAAAATGAATTAAAGAAAAAAAATATGTAGAAAATAGATTTGGGTATTGGGCGGGATCAATCTAAACCCATCCCAAAGTGATCCCGCCCAAGTTAGTCCCAAAACACATATGGGTAAGGTTAAACTCAAACCCATATGACTCGGTTCCATCTCAAATCCAATCAAATCCCGCCCATCCCGCCCATTTTGCCACATCTAAATGTGTATAACATTGGATGTTTTGACATAAATTTAGTATAAAAGTGAATTTATAAGTAAATTGGTTTAAAACTTACGATTGCATTATAAATACTGGTGCTAAAGACACACGCGATACATGTGCAATTATAAATGCTTTTTTGGTAGATTAATTTTATATAAAATTTTCATTAATAAAGCAAACTACGGTATTTTAACCTTTTTACCCATCAAATGATGGTTTTAGTAGTTACAATATTTAGAGAGTTAGAGACAGTCATATTGTTAAGATTTGTTTAGATTAACTATGGTTAAAAATAGTTATAGGTAGTTATTTTATCAATTTATATTTAGGTAGTGAAGTAATAAGTGATTTTAATGAGGTAAAATTAAAAGTATATAAAGTGACAAAAATATTTACCTCAAAGCCCCATTTCTCTCTTTATATATAGTATAGATACCAGTTTATACTACTGAAGTTACTAAAGTTATTAGTTTACGTGACTTGACGACTTGACGAACCAATTTGAAAGTGCGTCCAGCTCTAGATCCGTTCATGCCTATTTGTGCGTTTATTGTAACCAATTTGAAAGTGCATTCAAGTTTTATTTATTTATTTCATGAATTAGACTAAAACAAACTTTTAACCACTCAAAGAGTTCAAAAAATTTATACTCCCTCCATCCCACTTTGATAGTCCTATTTTCCTTTTTCGTCTGTCCCAAATTGTAGTCCACTTTCCAATTGAAGAATGTAGTTGTATTTTAATTTTTCTGAAATGCCCTTATTCAATGTAAGTTATTTTTAATATAAACCTACCCCATTTAATGAGAGTTGATTCTCTTTTTACCATAAATTCAAGTTCCCATAAAATTGTACTCTATTTAATGTGAGCGTATTTTAGAAAAATAGCAATCTAAATTTACTTTTCCAACAAAGTTAACTACTTTTTCTTAAACTGTGTGAAAAAAGAAACAGGACTATCAAAGTGGGACGGAGGGAGTAGCACTCATAGACAAATTGTGATCGAGTTTAAAATTAAAATATTAGTTTGTAAACCAAGTTTAAACGAGTTCAATATAAATATCGGATAATATGATTCATTTTTCAATTAACTCTTTTACGTACCATTAAAGAAAGTATAAAGATTTTGTGAAATCGTCTGCTTGATATCTTAACGAAACGTCATGAAGCTTAATGTGGTGGTTGTAAAATATCTGTACCATATATTTGTTCGTACATGATGTGATAATACAAGAATTTAATGCAGTGGGATTACCAAAAGAATTTTTTTTTTTACTTAGATTGCCAAAAGATTCAAGTGCTTGTGTCATACGTGTCTATTAAAATGCACTAGTATTGTTGGGACTTAATGGTTGTTTGTTCTTATTCAAAATCAATTAAAACAATGGAATCTCATTAAATAAAAAGATTAATTTTATTTGTACTACCAACGTATGCACTTTTACTGTTTATACTATATGATATAAATGTAAAATATGAATTTAAAATTTAAATTTTATTTTTGTATCATATATTCAACCGCGAACAACTGTCAGTGTATATAATGTTGCCTCTTAATTTAAATCAAATTAGTGT